AGCTATTTAGGGTAAGGGTATGGCTAGCTGATGAGAGCTAAATAGCTTGGAATAGATCTATACTAGTCTCCCTTTATTTATTTATCAGCACAAATGCAACACACACACACACAATTTGTCTTTGCTAATGGGATACCCACACCCATTGTCACATCGGAATGTAACAAAATACAGTTTACAGAATAAGAGTTGGAAGGGACCTTGGAGGTCTTCTAGGACCCCCCACTCAAGCAGGAGACCTTATATTATTCCGGAGAAATGGCTGTCCAATTTCTTCTTAATCTTAATTTTTTTTTCCTGCAATGCTAACGCATCGTTTTTGTCTCATGACTGACTTGGGCACAAGCTCCATGTAAACGGCCAAAAGTTGCTCCTCCCGATCTCCCACTGAGATGACAAGGGGAAAAAAACTCCTAACAGGCTGGATTTCTGCCTGCCGTGCAGCAAGTGAAAGCTTAGAGCAGGAGTCCCCAAACTTGGCAACCTTAAGATTTGCGGACTTCAACACTCAAATTCTCCAGCCAGCTGGCTGGAGAATTCTGGGAGTTGAAGTCCGCAAGTCTTAAAGTTGCCAAGTTTGAAGGTCTCTGCCTTAGACATACAAAATAAGAAACTATTTGTCATAGTCATTTTGGATTAAATCAGAATCCTACAGATGGGTTCTTATCGTAAAGTCACAGCTGGCTTCCACGATAAACATTCGGATTCTCAATCCAACCCCTCTGATGGGCACCAAATGACCAGGACGCTCAGCGACATCAGGACCCAACTAAGGGCAAAAGAAATGACAGCCAGGATAGTGCGAGCGTCATTTTTTGAAACCCGCAGGTCTAACCGTGTCTTTGCCCTCAGTAAAAATGGCCTCCCGCGCATTTCTTGACGTAATAGGGGGGGCGGGGTTTGGAAGCCTTTCGGCGGGAAGCGCTAATGGCGGCGCCCGAGACGGGGAAGTCGCTTGAAGGAGGGAAAGAAAGCGGGAGCGCTGCTGATGGCGCATCTACTTCTACTTCTCCTGCCGGGAGCGGCCGTTATGAACTGCCCTGGTGAGAAACAGAGCCGGAGAGGAAGGGCAAGCCCACCGAAGGATGTTGTTGAGGGTTGCGAAGCCGGGGGAAAGTGGGTCCGGATAGTTAGGTTGATGGCGCAGCAGTAGGAAGCCGGTGTTCTGTTTGTGGGAGCGTTAAGACGGTGACTGCGGGAGATGAGTAGCGAGGTGTTGCATAGGGGGAGCCGCTTAAGCAGACCTGGGCTGCAAAGCTCTGTAGGGCCATTAGGTGGCAGCAGAGTGCGAGGGAGTGCTGAAAAGCGGTTTTCCTGCTCTCTAGTGGCCGACCGGGGGTTTGCGTTGGCACTTCTAGGTTTTTGGAGGGAAATGAAAGCTAGTTTGGTGTAATGTCAAGGTGTTTGACTAGAAATCAGAAGATTGTGGGTTGTAGGTCTCTGTAATCCATGCAAGCCAGCTGGGTGACTCTGGGCCAGGAACTCTCAGCCCATCCACCTGCTGTTGGGGGGGGGGGATTTAGAAGGAAGGAGTATTAGGTAAGTTCATAACTTAGAATGACATAATTAAATGGTGGAATGAAAATTTAATGATGAGGGTAGATTATTTAGAATAGAATAGGAATAGGAGAAATAAAAATAGAATTAAAATAGAATAGTTCTTGATTTCAATCAATCAGAATAGAACTGGAAAGGGACCTTGAAGGTCTTCTAGTCCAACCCCCTGCTCAAGCAGGAGACCCCATACAATTTGGCCTCCCTCACTTGAAGCTCTCCAGATATTTTAAGACTGCAAAATGTGTAATTTCTAGCCAGCCAACATGCTCCTGTGTTTCCTGAAAATAATAATTGTGTAAAGTCACAAATAATAATTGTGACTTTACACAATGTGGTCAGCATGTTGTAGGAACCAGGTCTTCACCACAACATGATGTGGACATAATATAAGAATAAATATAATCTTTATTGTCATTGTACTTAAATACAACAAAATTGGTTTTAACCTCACTGGTGCAAAATTAAAGCATATACCATGTGAAATCAAGCACTGTATTTTGTCCTAATCCTCAATTTAAAATTGATCATTGTATGAACCCAGGCAATATGCTGTTTAATGCAACTAGATGCCAATTGGGAGAAACTATTTTAGTACTTACTAACTTGATTGCTCTTTTTCCTGCTCTTCCTCACCCCCCACTACTTGTTTCCAAACTTCATTTTCTGCTTCAGTTCCCCCAGTTTCCCAGCCTCTTTCAACTACATTTCCTTTCTTTTGCCGTTGGCATAGGGGAGAGTGTTAATGTGTCTTGTCCAACAGGGTCGAAAAATACAGGCCAATGAAGATGTCGGAAATTGTTGGCAATGAAGACACTGTTAGCAGATTAGAGGTATGGAAACCACTTTATTGTAAGAAAAATGCTTCTTTCAATGGCTGTGAAATTTTAAGACGTATTCATAAATGTGGTCTAAGTAGGTCTTGTCACTAGGGGAGTTACTTTCCTGCAATGAACTGGCACTGAAATGAAGGAGAGCTGCATTTCTTTGTTGGCTTTAGAAGACGACAATATCCAAATATCTGCGTGGAATTCTCGGTTGCCTGTGGCTACAGCTAAGACTCTAGCGCTCTATGTCGGGCTCACTTCAAACATTGTTTCTAGACCTAGTTTAGGAAGTGTTGTTATTATAAAGGCTCTAAATTGTTTTTGTTCTTGGCACTAAATCACAGAGGGTGAATCATTTGCTGTTACTTTCTTTTATGTCTTTTTGTTTACCATGAGACAAGGCTAAAAGGTTTTAAAAAAAGTAAAAGATGGCTAAAGTAATGGATACAATCCTGTATTTAAGCTCTTGTCTGAATACCAAAACTGAGGGCGCTTATCATCGTAAGTGACAGCATGTTGCATAGAATTCCTTGTTTGTTATTTGCTCAGTACAGATTGAAGATGATTCCTTAGCACAGAATTTAAACGGAGAAAAGAAAGAGGTTTATTTTCTTATATTACTGCCTGTAAAATCTTATTTCAAATTTTAAAAAGGGAGCTTGTTTAGAAGATAGGTATAGAAGACCATTAAGGAAGGCAAAAAGTATTGATAAGAAAGTTGCAAGAGATTTTGAAACACTGATTATGAACATAATTCTCCAAAATTTGGAGTACACACTGTAATTTCCAAGTACAGAAACTTGCATTTCTAATTGACTGTCCTTTCCCCCCATCTTTTCCCTAGGTGTTTGCAAGAGAAGGAAATGTTCCAAATATTATTATTGCTGTAAGTATTGAGAAAATAATTTGTTTCCAAACTAAGGGCCATCTTAAAAAAATTTAGTCAAAGGCAGTTAGTGGTGAGAATCCTGTTATTTATTCATTCAATTTGTATAGCTGCCAATCTCACTTTTACATGACTGCGTGGTTTACAATAAAACAAATAAAAACACACAATATAAGAACAAATAAAAATGGGAACCCTTATCAGCTGGTCATAACCTAACGCAGTGATAGCTAACCTTTTCCAGACCGAGTGCCCAAAGCACGCACACGTGCAAATGCACGTGGGCGTGTCCCCAAAATGCAATGCATGCACCCCCCACGCATAAGTGCATGGCCACACACCCCACAGAGGCCCGAAGGCCAGATGGCTGGCAGGAGGCACGTGCGCATGCAAGGCAGAGCTGAACTAGGGCGATGGTGCCATTAGAGGGCGCTGCGTGCCACCTCTGGCATGCATGCCATAAGTTCGCCATCATGGACCTAACCTATCATCCACAAAGCTGGGAAGTCAGCTGTAGTCTATGCCCAGAACTAGGTAATGTAAAAGGCAAGTTTGAAAGATCATCAAGGACTGGGCTAATCTAATCACAGGGGAATGATGTTCCAAAGGGCCACAGAAAATGCTGTCCTTATGCTTCCTATCAGTTGACACTCCCTGTATCTGGAGTGTGCACTTCCTGCCAGATGGGGTAGATAGAAACAACTGGTGAGAGACAGTCCATTAAGTAACTATTAAGTATAAAATACAATAAGCATTAGCACTTACTCTATTTTTGTGCCATTAACTCATGTAATTAGCTCTCATTGATTAAACTTTAAGTGTGCATGTTTCTCGAGAATTAAACCTTTAAGGGTGATATGTTTCAAGGAATAACATAATTTCCAAATTCCAAGTTGTCCCCAGCAATGGGACGAAGAAACCTTTTGGAATCTTTTTATGTTCTTTTTAAGGGCCCACCAGGAACTGGCAAAACCACCAGCATTCTTTGTCTGGCTCGTGCACTTCTGGGCTCTGCGCTGAAAGATGCCGTTTTGGAGCTCAATGCATCAAATGACAGGTGAATCAAAGGTTAGAGGGAGAGCTGGGTTTAATTTAAGCAATTTTACTCCGTTCTTCAGCTGACAAGACCTCTTAAAATAGCTTGCAAAGTTCATGCTGCTCCCCCCCAGCTTTAATATTAATGAATAATTATTAAGTAATAACTGAGCATTTTATTTCCAGAGGCATTGATGTCGTCAGGAACAAAATCAAGATGTTTGCGCAACAAAAAGTCACACTTCCAAAAGGCCGGCATAAAATAATTATCTTGGATGAAGCAGACAGGTGAATAGGTTTTTTCCCTCCCTCACTCCAACAATCACCTTTATTATATAATTACTCATTAATATGAAGAGTACTAATTTAATTATGGGACATGGCGGGTCAGTGCCTAAAACACTGATCTTGTCGATCAGAAAGGTTGGCAGTTCGGCGGTTCGAATCCCTAGCGCCTAGAGTGAGCTCCCATTACTTATCCCAGCTTCTGCCAACCTAGCAGTTCGAAAGAATGTAAAAATGCAAATAGAAAAATAGGGACCACTTTTGGTGGGAAGGTAACAGCATTCCCTGCGCCTTTGCCATTTATTCATGGCAGCCACATGACCACGGAGATGTCTTTGGCTCTTCGACTTTGAAACGGAGATGAGCACTGCCCCCTGGAGTCGGGAATGTCTAGCTCATATGTGTGAGGGGAACCTTTACTAATTTCATAGTATGTATTTATTTTATTAAATTTATATGGTGCCTAGCTTTCTGTCCAGAGTGACTCTAAGCAACTATTTAAAAACTTGCAAGAGCTCAACCTCTCCACGGTATAGTTCCCAGTTGTGTTATTTGGCTGCATAGCGATGGGATCACTCTGTCCCAGCTCATTTCTTACTGAAATAACAAGACTGGGCTGTTTCCATCACAGGAAGCCTCCTCCTATCCCTTCCATTTGCACAGAAGCTTGCAAACTTTTAAAGCCTGCGCATTATGATTCCTACAGCGTTTCCCCGAAAATAAGACAGGATCTTATTTTCTTTTGTCCCCCAAAATAAGCACTTGGCCTTATTTTTGGAGACATCTTGTCATTTTTAAGGTGCAGGCAGCGGCGAGCGTGGTCACCTCATGGCTGCTGCTGTGTTGCAATATTTTCAGGGAGGGCTTATTTTTTGGGGACGGCTTATTTTAGTGCATGCGCTGAAAAGCCCAGTTGGGCTTATTATCCGGGGAGGTATTATTTGGGGGAAAACGGGGTATTTTAGCTTCAGGAACCACAGGAGGCATATCCACTGGTACAATTATCTTACCAATTTGAAATTAATTTAAAAGAAATATGTTGCCAAAAAGCACCCCATTTTGTTAGTAAAAATTGGGAGGATTTTGGCAGACAAAGTAAGAACTGAAGAAGCCACATATGGTCCAAAGATCCACTATCCTTGTAGTGAGAAGAAAATAGTTATCCCTTTGGGCAGATAAGCCATTGCTACTTTTTTTTATTGATTTCTCATGCGTGGTAGAGTGGTTCTGTTTTTCCATGGCACAACTTGTATAAAGCACAAGGTACATTCCAGAATAACATGCAGGTAGTCCTTGTTTACTGACCACAATTGGGACAAGCAGCTGTTTCAGTAAGCAAGACTGTGGCTGAATGAGAAATCATATGACTGTGCTTTCTTTTTCCCCACTCCCTTTGGAGTGCTCACCCTAGAACTGAGATAATTAGCAAGAAGGATGTTAATATTTCTATTTACATTAATTGGAGGGGAAAAGACTCCAAGAGAGTAATTAGGGAATATACCAGGCTATCTGTATAGCATACTTGTGATTCCAATCCCAAGTGCCGCTACATTTCTTTCAAAGTGTATTCTCCATTTGTGCCTTCTTTAAAAAATTTTTTTTTTTTTTTATTTTCAAAACAAACACAACACATAAAATCTTCATTCTTTACATACTGTAGAAAGTGTATCAG